AAAAAAAAAAACGTTTCCATCAGAACTAAAGTTAACAATACTATATGGATATTTGCTTATAAAATACTGTAAATTCTTGAAAGTGCTTTGTTAACCATCCTTCATGAGATGCAAGTGCTCCCGAATTAACTGTTCCACACATGCCTGCAGTAGCAGCCTTCATCCAGAACTGTCGGTGGCTTTCTCTTTGAAAAGCCACTTGCGAGCGAGCTAATCGCAACTTCTTGGCCTGTGTCAGTACCAATTTACCATGGAAATGAGTGAACGAACTGTAGAAGGACTGATTACATTTTTACCATGATAATAAGCACGAATGCCAAGGCTAAATTACCACGATTACCACGGTACCGCTACAATTATCGTGATTACCAGTCTGGCGTGGTCAGTAGTTATCGAATCGTCGATTTCACTAGTAACACTAACTTAAATTGTCTGATCAAAGCAGTTTTGTCGAATTTTGCCAACAGTTGACTGACATCGCACAGTAGTAGATGTTACTCGCGAGAAAGTAAACGATTCTCCGGACGGACACCGAAAAAGGTGGCGCACATACATCGAACAAGTAGTGGGTGCCAACAGGAGCAATGTAGCCTGGGATCCGAAAAACCTAGCATCATTCTTAGCGTGCATGGGAATATCCCTTTGTAACATCACTAACATGGCAATCAGCATTGGTTTTTCGTGCGGCTATTGTAATTTTATTCCAAAAATGTATAAATTTATCGACAGCATCTGTACAAAATTTATTCGTATCGAATGAAAGTGGTCAAAAAGATTTAATGTGCTACCAGTTTCCCCTTACTACTTTTAGCCAAACAAAGCGGTATCAACACCTCCGTACCGCCGTGCTGCTGCTGCTTCCACCACCGCTGCGGAAAGTGCTTGTGAAAGTGCGGCCGATGAAGCATCGGATGAGCAGAAATCATCGGCACGTGAAAGCCCAGTACCACGGATCTCGGAGCCGGCCAGTCCCGCTGTACCTCATAAATTTGCTCATCGCCGAATTCTGTTCCCATTGAGGAGACGATATATCACAAGTAATTTCATTCATTCTTTTGTCTCACTCAAACGAGCAAAAGGGGTTTTTTTTTTTTTTAATGCAGTGCAGATTAGGTTATGGGATTAAAAAATCAGCCATGGATATCGAACCGAACCACCCCGTCCGGCGGTGCATAGAAATATGAAATTCTCGAAGTTATTCCGAGGTAGACGGCACGTATCCAGCGCAGAAGTCGTACCCCTTTGTTAATGAGTTACACTGCCACCATTTCACGTCTGTTGTTTCTGGTGTTTTTATGGGGCCAAAAATTAAAGAGCCCTTACCGTATTCCGTATGTGTGCGAGACTGGGGTACTCAGGAAATAGTCCGAAGTGGTAGCCCTGCCAAAAGTAACAAACCGATTGCAAGGCTGCCGATGGCTTCCTCTTTTGAGGGTGATTTACAAGCAAGCTGATTGCAAAATTGCCTTTTCCGCATGTTGCCAGTAACAATTTACCATCGGAACGAATGAACGAATGACAAACGAATCACATTTTCCTTTTTTATTTCCTTACATCTTTCATGAACATATACCAACTAAAATTAAAATTTGAAAACTGATTGTCCCATTGGTGGAATCGAATCTTCGACTAGCAGCACAACAGCAGTACTACTTCCCTTTTGCACCATGCCCGGCGACAAATGATTTTCAACTTCTTAGAAATAACCAATACTTGTTCATTGAGCAGAGCTTCAAGTTGCTGCTTATTTCAGCGGAGCACGAATTTTGGCGCGACACATTCCAGTCCATCCAGGTTTGCAGTGTTTTTTTTTTTTT